TGTAAAGTTGTTTGAGTTCCTTATATATTCTGGATATTAATCCTTTGTCAGATGTATATTTTGCAAATACTTTCTCCCACTCTGTTGGTTGTCTTTTTACTCTGTTAATTGTTTCTTTTGCTGTGCAGAAGCTTTTTAGTTTGACATAATGCCATTTGCTTATTTTACCTTTATTTCCCTGTGTTTTGGGCATCCTATTAATGAATTCTGTACTCACTCCTACTTCCTGGAGTGTTTCCCCTATGTTTTCTTTAAGGAGTTTTATTGTTTCAGGATGTATATTTAATTCTTTAATCCATTTTGAGTTGATTTTGGTGAAAGGTACGGGTCTAGTTTCATTCTCCTACATATGAGTATCCAGTTTTCCCAGCACCACCTGTTGAAAAGGCAGTCTCTTCCCCAGTATGTAGATTTGCTGCCTTTGTCAAAGATCAGATGGCTGTAGGTGCATGGATTGATTTCTGGATTCTCTATTCTATTCCATTGATCCGTGTGTCTATTTTTATGCCAGCACCATGCTGTTTGGGTTATTGTAGCTTTGTAATATAGTTTTAAAAGGCAACTTTAAACAAAAAACTGGTTAAAGTTGCCACAGAAAGAACTGCCCTGCAGTCATGGTAACAAATAGGCAAACAGAACCTGTTTTAAATCTATCCAATCAATCAATGACCACTGGCCTCACTCATCAACCAGCCTCATCCTTCTGTAACACAGCCAGTCAGAGACAAACTCACTATAATAGGCATGACCCCCAGTGCCAACCAATCAAGCAACAGTCTCAGTCACTCGAATAACCATATTGCACAGATGATGTCAACCCACTTATGTCTCTGTAAGTGCCAGTCCTTCTACTCTACTCTGCCCAAAACCCCATACAAGATCAGCAGGCTGCTCTGTCAGAAAAGCCTGTGCCTGACCACCACAGCTGTCTCACTATAAAAAGCAACAAATTCCAATTCTGTCTTTTTCTTTCAGATACTGAAGTCTCATAATGCTTTGGTAAGAATGTATTAAGTTCATTAATTTACCACCCTAAAAGTAAATGAAGTTGTCAATTCCTTTGATCCATTTTATCACAACTAAAACTATCACAAATACCAGTAGAAGGATAAATAGTGAGTAACCCCAATATCAGGCTTTTCACCTGAAGTGAAAAAACATTAATATAGAGAATATAGCTTATTAGAAAGAACCAAAGGAATCTAAAATATGCATGTAATTGCTAGGTACAGAATAGTCAGAATGGACCCATATCAAACTTTTTCTTAAGTAAGACCGAGTCTAATGTTCAAAACAACAGACCCAGGGTAAACTCCATTCACTAATTTAATAAACTCTTATTGAGCAGCTGCTGCTTCTAAGTGAGGCCTTTTTCTAGGCACCGAGAACACAGAAGTAACAATGGAAAATGCTACTCCTGAGTGAAGTGAGTGCACAATAACCATGAACGCCACAGGGAGGTGAGACACACAGTATGTGAGGGGAGAAAAGCGGAAGCAGGGAAAGAACATTTATATGTGTTGTAGGGGAGGGATGCTGGAAATCTTAGAAAGGCCAGAAAAGGTCTTGCTGAGAAAGTGGCTTTTCAGTAAAAAACTGAAGGAATGGAAGGAGCAAGCCAGGAGGAGATGTGAGGCAAAAGCATTCCAGGCAGAGTGAACTGCCCAGTACCGTGGTATGCCTGGGGTGTTTAAACAGTAGTAACAAATTTAGTGTGACTGGAGCAGAGCGAAAGGGACAGAAAAAGAGAAGCTTCAGCCAGAGAGAGAACAGAGGTCAGATCATGCACTGCTCTGTAGGTATTAGGAAAATTCTGGCATGCACTCTGGGTGAAATAGGAGGCAATAAGAAGAGTTTGAGCAGACAAATGACAAAATTTGACTTACATTTTAGTGGGTCTGCTACATAAAGAATTGATGGGAAGAAGATTTAAAAAGAAACAGGACGACCAGTCAGAAGTCTGTTACACTCATCTAGACAGTAGATGATGCTGGCTTGCACATGGAAGATGGGACTGCCTTCTGGAGATATTTTGAAGGTAGATTTGCTGACAGATTAGATGTGAGAGGTACGAGGGAAGGATGAGTCAAGGATGACACCAAGGTTTTTGCAGAGAAACTGGAAGAACTGCCATTAACTCAAGTAGAAGGACTACCTGAGCGGCACATATGAAGAAGAGGGTCAGTAGCTCAGTTTTGGACCTGTTAGGTTTCTGATACCCAATTGCTAACGAAAGAGAGACGTCAGGTAGGCAGTCTGATATATAGGTCTGGAATTAAGAAGAGAGATCTGGGATTAGAAATTTGGAAATCAATAGCACATACAAGACAGTAAAAGTCATGAGAAAGAAGATCAAAGAATGAGCCCCGGGAAACTCCTATGTAAAAGGTGGCAGTCGAGGAGACACAAGCAAACAGACTAGGATGGATGGGCTGGAAAATTAGGGGGAAAACCAGGTGAGCCACCGATATCCTCAAAGCCAAGGGAAGAAATCGTTTTGGAGGAGAGAGTTTTCCATTGGGTCAAATATTGCTGAAGTAAAATGAAATCTAAGAAATTATGTCTAGATTTATTAAAGTGAAAATCACTGGTAACCTTGAGAAAAACAATTTTGGAAGAGCGGTGTGAGTGAAAATTACTGGAGTGAGTTCAAGAGTGAATGGAAGGAAAATGTGAGTCAGTGAGTAGAGACATTTCTTTCAAGGACATCACAGCAACCTGACATGATCACAGAACATGTAATTTTCTCCTTGTTTAGCTGTATTCTTGCTCCTTACATAATGATTATGTAGTATGTTTGTAACACTTCGAAGTTTTTTTTTTTGATTGTGTGCACGTGGCACTAAAAAAAAAAAAAAAGCCAACCAAGGTGTTAAACAATCAATTCATAAAATTATAGAACTAAAAGACCCCTTGAAAATGTCCTGGTTGTATATTATGTAAGGTGATTACCACATTACTCATGCTTACAAAGAAAGACCACAGAAAGAAAGCTTCAAGGGCAGTATTGCTTGCTCAATGAAAATCATCTAACTCTAGGATATTTAATACTAGTCAAATACACAAAGTAATTAATCATATTAAATAATACTGAATTCTATAACAGGACTAAAAGGGAAGAAAGGCAGAAAATAAATATTTCATAAATCGAGTTTTTATAAATTGTATGAGGTCAGTTGTTGAAACATATAGTGTGGTGTGTAGAGAAATGTATTATCTTCAAAAAGGAAGGACAATGGCAGGCATGCAGGGTATCTTTAAAGAGATCTACTGCATTCGCAGCACCTTCATTATGGCACAAGGGTCAGCAAATTAGTGTCTGTAGAGCAAAGTCAGCCCACCGCCTGTTACGGTAAATAAAGTTTTACTGGAACACGTCCATGTCTATTTACTTATTCTCTATGAAAGATTACAGACTATAAAATCAGAGACCTAACAGTGTCTGTAGAGCAAAGTCAGCCCACCGCCTGTTACGGTAAATAAAGTTTTACTGGAACACATCCATGTCTATTTACTTATTCTCTATGAAAGATTACAGACTATAAAATCAGAGACCTTATGGTCCACATAGCCTAAAATATTTACTATCTGACTCTTGACAGAAAAAGTCTGCCAAACCCCCATTTAGTAGATCAAATATCTTTTGATGTGTTTTAGTAGGTTTTACCCAATACATAGAAAGACATCACATGTATCCTATTCTTTCTTTACCACTATGGACCCCATGTGCAGTGCCTTGGCAACATTCAGATTAATATGAGTGTCCAATACCTGAACACTTACGCATTGGGAACAAAAAACAAGAATCCAATAACTAACAATTTTGTTGGTAAAAGTTTATAAAGGGCCACTGAAACATGTAGCTTCCTTTTACAACTCAGCAGATACTACAAATATACTAACAAAATTTGCTTGAGATGCATCACCAAACTAAATGCTTTAAGTATATTTTAATTGTGGAATAATGAGTATACTATAGATCTAACCTCATTTTTTTTCAATGGTTGCATACTGCAGTACTTTACGGGTATGACAATTTAACTATTTCCTTATTGATGGGTATTTGGACTATCACCAAATTTTTGATATAACAGTGATACAATAAACAGCCTTAACATACATATATTATATATCCTATATATATTCCATATATAGACCTACTGCATTTTATATAAAATATATAATAAATGTCCATAACATGTGTCTGTATGTGTTTACAGAAGTTGTGTTTTCCTGTAGGATCTAGGCTCATAGGTGAAGCTGTTAGGATAAAAGGATGATATATACTGTATTTGAAATTTTGATACATGCTACTAAACTACCCTTCAAAAAGGATTTACCAATTTCATTTACCAACACTATATGAAAAGTCTTTTTCCTCACATTTGCTGGTTGTTTTTTCATAAAATATGTATCACTGTGAATGGAAAAAACAATGGTAACTCATTGCTTCTTAATTTGCATTTTTCTCATTACCAGGCAAGGTTTAATATCCCTAGTAAAAGTATAAAATTTGTTCATGGTCAATATTAGCTCAAATATTGGTCAATGGACACAAAGAATAATTGCGTACTGTAATGATGAATTAGCTAACTACACTGATCTAACCACCACACATTCTACACAATTGCTGAAAATCAACCTTGTACCCCACATGTAGGTATAATAAAAAAATTTTTTTTTTAAACAATTAGTTTTATAAGACAGTAATAATGATCTACCCTTATAATTGCCATAGGCTTACCTATCATACTCTTCATTGTCCTCACTGGGAAATTGCTGGTTATCAGCTCTTCCATTCTTTCCGTGTTGAATTAATACATTATCATCATCAGCAGCAGCAGCACCATCATACAGGTTTTCTGATATTTTCATTTCATTAGTTTTGTGATTCTTTTCTTCATCAACCTTTAATGAAAGTTACTTACTAAAGATAATTACTATTACTTTATTCAATAAAAAGAACTTTGTTTTCATTAATTTTATCACTTGATTAAGTTTAATTGTCATGATTTTAGTGAATACAATATTTTTGTGCTTACTTTAATTTTATCATTACAGGTCATTGAAATCTTTGTAAATTCTGCTTCATTCAGGGTTTTCCAAATTTCAGAAAAGGCCCTTCTTAATTTTCTGCTCTTATTCCCATCTACTCTTTGCTATCTAAAGTGTTCACCCGTTTGACTATCACAAAAGAGAAATAAGAAGACAAAGACATCACATGTATCCTATTCTTTCTTTACCACCTGAATTTCACATCAAACAGCCAGATGTTGAGATGACTTTCATACATGAAAGCACAATAAACAGATTAGTCGGGCTGAGTATATTCACTGCAACTCGCAAGGTTAAATACATTAATATATCCATTCTCAGTCATTGCTTGCTTCCCACTGTATTCCCATTTTATGCTTTAAGTAAATGCATTTTATCTTTAAGCCAATAAAAGAAAGAAAAAAAAAAACCGAGAATATATTACACCCTTTCAGCAATCTTTTTCATGCTTATCCTGGTTCAGAAGGTCACATGATATATGACCAAATTAGCTTCCCAGTTCAAATGCCAATTGGAAGACTGACAGACTTAGGTTGACTAAGGAACAAAGACTATGAAAATGTTTGGGGGCTTTTTTGGAACTCCTATTGTTAAGTGAGCAGAAATAATCTATTTCTAGACACAATTACTTATTTAGATAGCCCTGTTATACACATGAGTTTTTCATAAGTAGAAAATCAGAATAAATCAGATAAGTGACAAAGAGAAAAAACAAAGAGTAACAGCAAGTCAACCTCTACCTCTTCTTGAACTTGATCTTTATCCAAAGCCAGGAACTCGACTTGGGACCTGCCTGTCTCACTCTTAAACTTTTGCATATCTTGCTGCAATTCTTCACTTAGACATAATTTTGATCTTCTGTCACTATGTGGTGGAGAAGAATTCACATTTTCTAATTCAGGTTTCATGCTTTTGAAATTATCATGCAGTGGCTTCTGGAACATGTCCTGTGTCTCTTTTTCTTTCTTGTAAGGGTCTGTATCAGCAGAAGGACTATGTCTTTTTATTTGAAACACAGACTTCACTTTTTTCCAGTGCGTAAGCCACACATCAAAAAGGCTCTTTGGATCCCTAGACTGGGGCACATGTCCAGTGTCTAATTTCCCATTACTGGTGTTCTGGATCATATTTTCTGTCATTTGCATATCAAACTCTTGGTGTTCCTTTACTTCAACGAGGCTCTTTGGGTCCCTAGACTGCGGCACATGTCCAGTGTCTAATTTCCCATTACTGGTGTTCTGGATCATATTTTCTGTCATTTGCATATCAAACTCTTGGTGTTCCTTTACTTCAACGAGGCTCTTTGGGTCCCTAGACTGCGGCACATGTCCAGTGTCTAATTTCCCATTACTGGTGTTCTGGATCATATTTTCTGTCATTTGCATATCAAACTCTTGGTGTTCCTTTACTTCAACGAGGCTCTTTGGGTCCCTAGACTGCGGCACATGTCCAGTGTCTAATTTCCCATTACTGGTGTTCTGGATCATATTTTCTGTCATTTGCATATCAAACTCTTGGTGTTCCTTTACTTCAACGAGGCTCTTTGGGTCCCTAGACTGCGGCACATGTCCAGTGTCTAATTTCCCATTACTGGTGTTCTGGATCATATTTTCTGTCATTTGCATATCAAACTCTTGGTGTTCCTTTACTTCAACTGTAACCACTTCTGGATTCCTTCCTTTTTTATTTTCTGTATCACTATAAAAATTCTCCTCATTTGTGTTAAAAACATACTCAGTGTCTAGTTTGTTATCGTTTTCACCATCTAATTTATTTTCATTTAAATAAAGCTTAGAAGATGACTGGCAAGTGTATTCTGTGGACCCAGAGTGTGAATGAGATGGAAAGATATCTTTGAGACTGGGGTCTTCTTTTTGTTCAGGAAGTGCCTGGAGTTCTACAGAGATTCCAAGTACATTACTTCCCACACAATCAACTATATCTTTTGTCAAATTAGAGGGTATTTCCTTTAAATCGGCTCCTCCTTTAGAATTATCATGTAGTGGCTCTTCCTCAGGACAAGCAGTAATTTTGTATTTTTCACACATTTCACCAAACCTCTGGTTTAACTCATCGGTGATAAATTTTGAGTTATTCTTCCACTCTAATTTTTCTTCTTGAATTGACATTTCCTCATAGTTTTGCATGAAAGGAGGTCCTGAATATACAGATACATCCTCTCTATTACAATCCTTATTCATTTCTGGTTCTTGAGACATTTTTTGCACCTGAAAAAGTGGGAGATAAATTTGCTTGGTTTGATTCAAAGATGTCTTTTCTGTAAGGGTGCACATTTTCAAAGTAACTTTATCCTTAAATAATCAAGGATGAACAAAGAAAAATTAGAAAATAGCTAATTATTTAATGGCTAGACTTCTTAATCTATGTTTAGCTATCCATAAATCATTGCATGTAACTAAGATGTGAAAAATAATTTGCCTTAGGCTAAAATAGGAGAAAAACATGAGTCAACAGTTTTGTCACTGTTTCTTTCGACTAACCTTAATTCATTATGTGTTAAATCTACCAAAAATGAATTAGTAGATGACTGTTAATACCACAAAGGTTCCTCCCTTAAAAAGACTTTATATCACTATACCAGAAATATTGAGCCCAGACAGTGGAGTTAAGTAATCTCTCTAAAGATAAGTAACGGGAAAGTACAGCAACTTAATGAGGGGTCAACATCCACACCAATTAGAAAGAAAAGTAAATTCTTAAATTTAAATTCAAATTATACACTGTGATAGTGTTATACATCTATATAGACTATCTACTAAAGTCCCATTCTAAAACAGTCTAATGTCCACTAACGACAGTGGATACAAATATTTTAGAAATATTTATTGATTTCCTCCATGGAAATGAAATGGGTTAGAAAGTTATTGTACATATCCTAACACCTTTCTTTTCTGGAAGGTATGATTCTCTTAACAAGCAGTTGGGTTGATTTTATGGCCCCATACACTCCCTAAATGTAGACACTGAAGTCAATTAGAAACCACAAGGAGGAACAAATCTTTAATCTTTGTTTTAGTGATCGGCAATATGAAAATACAAATTTTGAACAACTGGGGGTGACTGCTCCTCAACATGAATCCAAGTCAGTGGCCATAACATTTATATTGTTTATAATTTCAACTGCTTAATTATATAATTCAGTATTTCATGTTACCTTCTTTAACATGTAAGGAGGTTATAAAAATGGAAGGCCAAACAATATTCAGAAAAATTTTTCCCTCACCTTCAAGAATAAAATTTAGCTATAAGTTAGTATAGACTCTAAGAATATTTAAAGTTTTATAAGTAATTAAAATGTTTTTTAAATTAAAGATTAAATAATCAATTACAATTTAGTCATTCTAAAAGGCAAGCCCAAAGGTAATTCATTTGGACTATGCTACATTATTAAAGCAAAGCAAACAAAATTCAGCCAGAAATTTAAATTTACATTTTTACTCACCTGTGGATGCTTACTTTCACTTCCATCAAGCCTTTCTTGCTCTTTGTCTGCTGTCATTTTAAAGTCTTGTTCTGCTGACAAACCTATATATTTAGTTAAAAAGAATTATAAAGAATACTGAAATAAACTATATCACTGTAAAAAGAGATGGAAAACAACATTTATGAGTATTTTACAAATTGAGTGTTGAAATGAAGCTTAATCTAGCTGAATATTTACCTCTTTCAAAAATACATCTAATCATCCAAGTCATCAACAAACCACTTGGGGAGTCACTAGCTGTCACCAGGTGAAAGGCATATAAACATCTCAAAGATTCATTCACAAATTCACCAACCCAACATAAGTGAACAGAACCATCAGAAACAAAGCAAAATTTAAAAATACTGCAGAAATGTATAATACTGTACACCATTCTCTGCCTCATCAATGTAACTTTTCTGGTCCATTGTTAATGTTTTCAAAAATTACTGTTGCTTTTTACACTTTATCAGTGTACATTCTGTTCCTTTTATAT